CACAGGTGGGGGACAAAATGGGGCTGGGGGGGCAGGAAATGGGGCTGGGGGGGCACAAAATGGGGCTGGGGGGGCAGGAAATGGGGTTCAGGGAGAGTTTGTGGAGCTCTGAAGGGTTTCTGGGGTCCCATGGGAAGTTTTGGGGTGCCAGGTGAGGTTTTTGGGGTGACCTGACCAAAGTCAGCCAGTTTGAGGTCCCCCCGGCGACTCAGCAGTCCTGGTAACGTCTATGGGTTTTTTGGGGTTTTATGGATTTCTGAAGGGATTTTGGGGGTTTTTGGGGTCCCAGGGGAGGTTTTTGGGGTGCCCTGACCGAAGTCTGCCAGTTTGAGGTCGCTGCGGTGGCTCAGCAGTCCTGGGAAGGTTTATGGGATCCTGGTAACGTTTATGGGGTTTTGGTGGTTTTATGGGGTTTTGAGGTCCCGGGTGGGGTTTTTGGGGTCCCAGGGGACGTTTTTGGGGTCCCAGAGAAGGTTTTGGGGTGGCAGGTGGGGTTTTTGGGGTGCCCTGACCGAAGTCAGCCAGTTTGAGAACCCCCCAGCGGCTCAGCAGTCCTGGTAACGTCTATGGGTTTTTTGGGTTTTATGGATTTCTGTAGGGATTTTGGGGTCCCAGGGGAGGTTTTTGGGGTCCCAGGGGAGGTTTTGGGGTCTCAGGTCAGGTTTTTGGGGTGCCCTGACCGAAGTCAGCCAGTTTGAGGTCCCCCCGGCAGCTCAGCAGCAGGTTCTGGGAAGGTTTATGGGATCCTGGGAAGCTTTATGGGTTTTTGGTGGTTTTATGGGGTTTTGAGGTCCCGGGTGGGGTTTTTGGGGTCCCAGGGGAGGTTTTTGGGGTGCCCTGACCGAAGTCAGCCAGCTTGAGGTCCCCCCGGCGGCTCAGCAGCAGGTTCTGCGGTTTGAGGTCGCGGTGCAGGACCTTGTGGCGGTGGCAGAAGGCCAAACCCCGCAGCAGCTGGAACAGGAAGAGCTGCCCCCGCCCCAGGGGGACATCAGCACCCGGGGACAGCCGGGGACACCCGGGGGGACACCCAAGGGACATCCAGAGACACCCAAGGGACACTCGAGGACACACAGGGACAGACAGGGACACTTAGGGACATCCAGGGAGAACCATGGACACCCAGGGGACACCATGGGGACATCCAGGGACACCTGAGGACACCTGGGGATACCCAGGGGACACCCAGGGACAGACAGGGGACACCCAGGGGACCCTCAGAGATACCCAGGGGACACCCGGGGGACACCCAAGGACAGTCAGGGGACACCCAGGGTACATCTAGGGACAGACAGAGACAGACTGGGGACATCCAGGGGACCCTTGGGGACACCCAGGGAGGGACACCCCAAGACATCTAGGGGACACTTGGGGACACTTGGGGACACACAGGGACAGACAGCGGACACTCGGGGACAGACAGGGACACCCAAGGGACATCCAGGGACACCCAGGGGACACCCAAGGGACACCCCAAGACATCTAGGGGACACTTGGGGACACTTGGGGACACACAGGGACAGACAGCGGACACTCGGGGACAGACAGGGACACCCAAGGGACATCCAGGGGACACCCAGGGACACTCAGGGACATCGTGGGACACCTTGGGGACAGCCAGGGACAGTCCCAGTCCTTCTGTGGCTCCACAGATCCCCCAAATCCCCCCAAAAATCCCCCAAAACCCTCCCCAAACCCCCCAATATCACCTCTAAATCCTCTGAAATCCCCCCAAAACCCCAAAAATCCCCCCATGGAGAGCGGGAGGGGGACCCGGGTGACACCGGGAAGGGACCCAAGGGACACCGGGGAGGGGACAGCACGGTGGCAGGGGGGGGGGAGCGGGACGGGGACGCAGGGAGGGGGTGGCACCGCAGTGTCCCCACCTGCCAGCGGCCGCGGTGGCGGCCCAGGTGTGTCAGGGGCGAGTGGCAGCGCAGCTCGGCGCCGCGCGGGGACACGAAGGCCACCAAGGCGCGCGCCAGGGACTCCATCCCGCCCCGCAGCGACCACTGGCTCCAGCGCTCGGCCCGAGCCCGCTGCGCCAGCCCCGCCGGCGGCCCCGCCTCGCTGTCACCTGCGGCCACACCTGCGGCGACACCCGCGGCGACAACGTGACAACGCGCGGGGGGACCCGCGGTGTCCCCGCGGTGTCCCCCGTGCCAGCCCTCGCTGGATCCCAGGGGTCCCCACCCTGTCCCCAGCCCCGTGTGTCCCCACCCTGTCCCCAGCCCCCCACGGTGTCCCCTGTCTCAGCCCCATAGGATGGACCCGTCCAAGGGGTGGCACCTGGGGGTCCCCGTGGTGTCCCTCTGTCCCTGTGCCCGCCAGATGCCAGCGCCAGCCCCAGCAGTGTTCCTGCAGTGTCCCCACCGTGTGGCAGTGCCAGCCCCAGCAGGACAGCCCCAGCAGTGTCCCCAGGGTGTCCCCAGTGTCCCACCGTGTGGCAGTGCCAGCCCCAGCAGTGTCCCCAGGGTGTCCCCAGTGTCCCACCGTGTGGCAGTGCCAGCCCCAGCAGGACAGCCCCAGCAGTGTCCCCAGGGTGTCCCCAGGGTCCCACCGTGTGGCAGTGCCAGCCCCAGCAGGACAGCCCCAGCAGTGCCAGCCCCAGCAGTGTCCCCAGGGTGTCCCCAGTGTCCCACCGTGTGGCAGTGCCAGCCCCAGCAGTGCCAGCCCCAGCAGTGTCCCCAGGGTGTCCCCAGGGTCCCACCGTGTGGCAGTGCCAGCCCCAGCAGGACAGCCCCAGCAGTGCCAGCCCCAGCAGTGTCCCCAGGGTGTCCCCAGTGTCCCCAGGGTGTCCCCGGTGTCCCCAGTGTCCCCACCCTCGCGGATGGCCGTGCAGGGTGCCCCCTCCTCGTGCTCCAGCCGGATTTCCTTCAGCGCCACCAGGTTCTCGGTCAGCTTGCTGCGGCCCTTGTACACCGTGGCGTACGTGCCCTGGGGACAGGGGGACATGGGGACATTGGGACATTGGGGACATCATCAGGGACATTGGGGACACCTGTACACCGTGGCGTACGTGCCCTGGGGACAGCAGGGGACATGGGGACATTGGGGACATCATCAGGGACATGGGGACACACTGGGGACATTGGGGACATCATCAGGGACATTGGGGACATCAGGGACAGCAGGGACACCTGTACACCGTGGCGTACGTGCCCTGGGGACATCATCAGGGACATTGGGGACAGCAGGGACATCAGGGACATCATCAGGGACATGGGGACATCATCAGGGACATGGGGACATCGGGCGACACAGGTGACAGATGACACTGGTGACACAGGTGACAGGTGATACGCAAGTGATACAGGTGCCAGGTGACACTGGTGATACAGGGGACAGGTGGCACAGGTGACAGGTGATGCACAGGTGAAAGAGAACACAGGTGACACAGGTGACACACAGGTGACAGAGTTGACAGGTGACACACAGGTGACAGGTGACACAGGTAACAGGTGACACAGGTGACAGGTGGCACAGAGGTGACAGAGGTGACAGCACAGGTGACAAGTGACACACAGGTGGCACAGGTGACAGGTAGCACAGGTGACAGGTGACACAGGTGGCACAGAGGTGACAGAGGTGACACACAGGTGACAGGTGGTGGCAGCGGTGCCCCGTGCCTCACCTCCCCCAGTTTGTCCAGTTTCACGTAGGTCTCCAACTTCCCGAAGCCGATTTCCGACTGCAGAGAGGGGCCGGTTACTGGGAGGGCTGGGGGGCCCGGCCTCCCGCCCTGTACTGGTCTGTACTGGTTTGTACTGGTCTGTACTGGTCTGTACTGGTTTGTACTGGTCTGTACTGGTTTATACTGGTCTGTACTGGTCTGTACTGGTCTGTACTGGTTTGTACTGGTCTGTACTGGTCTGCACTGGTCTGTACTGGTTCATACTGGGAAGCAGCAGCAGAAGCCCCTGGAGAAGGAGGCTCAGCAGCCTCCCCCACGCAGCCGAGGGGCGCTGAGCAGCGCTTGTCAGTCCCTGTCCCTCCATACTGGTTTATACTGGTCCATACTGGTCCGTACTGGTCTGTACTGGTTCATACTGGGACGCACCAGGGAGACGCGGCGCAGGCGGCGGCTCAGGGGCCCGGGCAGCCCCAGCCCCCCCTCGGGCAGGCGGGTGTCAGCGGGCAGGGACAGGCGCTTGGTGACGTCCTGGGGACAGGGACAGGGACAGGGACAGGGACAGGCCAGCGCCCCCAGTGACACCAGTGCCCCCAGTGACACC